CACTTGCATGATGCCTTGGATTCATACCAGGTCTCTGCATTGCTGCTGCCGTTACCGGTCGGTAACAAGCGCAAGCGGGACAACAGCCCGCCGCGGATCCCATACACGGGTAAAGGCAAGACCTGGAAAGGCAATGGCAAAGGCAAAGGGGGCCGAGGCAAAGGCACTGGCGTCGCGCCGCCTCCCCAGCAGCACAATGTGGCAATTCCCAAGCGAATCAAGGATGCCGGTGGTAAGGCCTACACATCCAAGGGTTTGCAAGTGTGTTATGGTTTTAACTTGGAAGGTTGTAAGTTAGGCAATGCTTGCACAAGAGAGCATGTATGTGCCAAGTGTGAAGGTGATCACCCGATCACCAAATGCCCGCAATGACAACCTCCAGAGCGAAACCACCCGCCATCAGCTGTCAATGACTGTGCCAGTACCTGCACAGGAGACGTCGTGCTTAATACTCTTCATCAAGCCAACAACACACATCCGGCAGAAGCCTTTGCTGAGGTTTGTTTGGCCCAATCTTCAATTACTGCAGACCAAGTGGTGAAGCTCACCACTTTGTTAGATTCTGATCCTCAGAATCGCCCGGGCTATCCCCAGGACGGATTCGTCTGGGGCACAGGTGCAACTGTGCATGGTGGAGTACACGCTGTACGCACAAATATGCGGTCTTTTCCCCTTGTGACCCAGATGCTGGTTTCATATGCCAAGCAGTGGGTGCAGGATCACCCTTTTACCAGTCTCATGCTCTTCGCAGATGTGCAAGCGCCCCTGCATGCCGATCGGAACAATGCAGCAGGTGTAGACAATTTTCTAATCGGTTTGACTGGCTTTAGTCATGGAGAGCTCTGGGTCGAATCGTCCTCAGGTTCTCAGGTCTGCCCTGATCCAGCCTACCCCGGCTGCGGTGAGCTGCTTCCAGTCTCGCGCACTTGCGCGTTTTTCGATGCTCATGCAAGACATGCTACCTGCCCATGGACGGGTCACCGAGTTGTTCTTGCAGGGTTCACTGTCAAGGGATACGATGCCTTTGGTCAGGCCATGCGTGCTGAGCTGACAAGTCTCGGCTTCCAGATGCCGCAGTTGGCCACGGGGGATTTCATTTGTCATACCCTAAAACCTCCCCCTCAGCCTAGCCTCGAATCTGGTTTAATCCCCACATGTCCCGTAATCTTCGAGCTGTTCTCAGGCACAGGGCGTGTTACGGCCTGCCTTCGGAAGCTTGGAGTAACCGCTGCGCATGCGGTAGACCACTGTGTGCATTCTCAGGCTGCCGCTTTGCCACTTCTTGCTGACCTGTTGACACCTCAAGGTCGCGAGCTCTGTCGATTTTGGCTGCAGAGCCCTCTGCTGGTGGCCGTCTTCGCTTCGCCCCCTTGCGATGCATCCTCGCATGAAGCCTTGCATGAATTCCTGAGCGAGGTTGTGGAGGAGTGTCAGCGCCGACGTGTTCTCTGCGCCATTGAAAACCCTCAGCGCAGTTCCTATTGGGACACATCTGCCTTCCGTCGCATTCAGCATCTTTGTGCGCATCCTGTCAGCCTTGACCAATGTGCTTTCGGTGGCTCCCAGCCGAAGCGCACTACCATTGTCAGCACGTCACCGTGCTTCGCATCCTTGGCAAAAGACTGCCCAGGTAAAGCCTGCGCGGCGCACCATGCCGCTGATCAAGAGAGTGCCTACCCGCCCAAGCTAGCTGCCTCCATCGCCCATGCCCTCGCATGCCATGCTTGCAGTCTTGGTTGGAACCCGGAAACCCGCTTGCAACAACCCCACTCCTTGCAAACAGCCTGCCAAGCTGTGATAGGGAACCAGCCCAAAGCCTCACGATTCCCTCCTTTAGTCCCCGAACATGCGCAGGTTGTCGTCATGACCGGACCGTCGTCAGTCTCCCTGCCCTGTGAGGCCATGCAACGCATCAAAACGCCATGGACTGTGCCCTTGGAATGTTCCTGCACTTTGCGTGTTATCCCTGCCGAAGCTCAGCTTCTGCGAGTCTCCCCCATCACGGCTAATAAGGGGAAAGAGCAGGCTGAAGAATTGCGGAACCGTTGTGAAATAGCCTGGGGCATTCCCTTCAAGCCCGAAGCATTCGTGCGTGAGGCCGTCAAGTCGGGGCATCCAAAACTGGTGCCCGTCAATCTCCCGCAACCCCTTGAAAAAGCCGTGGAGTTGAATAAGTCGCTCAGCAAAGAGGAACTGAAGGATTTTCGGGAAGAATGGTTCAGGAAGTGGGAGCGCAGGGCGGAAGAGTTACGCCCCCAAGAGGAAGAGTTGAAAAATCATTTGCCGGGGCATTTGAAAAATATCTTAAGCGGCAAAGGTCTACTGGTGTGGAGGGAAGTGCTTGAATCCCTTGGGTACGAGGACTTAGGTGTAGTTGAGGAAGTAGCGCGTGGCACCGAACTTCTGGGTCAGGTGCCGCTGACAGGAGTGTTTGACCAGTCGTTCAAGCCCGCAGTCGCTACTCCTGAGCAGGTCAAGGCGAGAGCTGTGGCGAGCCGCGAGAAGGTGCTTGGCAACCTGAAATCGCAGGGCCACCTAGATAAGGAGGTCCGGGATAAATCGATGAAGGAAGTCGCAGAGGGTTGGCTTAGGGGTCCCATTGGGAAAAATCAACTTAAGCATAGTTCTTTGGTCAGTAAAAGGTTTGGCCTCGAGCAAGGTGTAGGAGACAGTAGAAAGGTCAGGTTGGTGGACGATCTTAGTGCTAGCACCGTGAACGATGCAGTGCAAACGTCCGAGTCGCCGAAGCCACATGGAGTAGAGGTCGTGTCAGCGTTGTGCATGAAGTGCCAAGAGTGCATGCCCCGGAGACCCATGAGCGGCAGATGCTATGACTTGAAAGCGGCATACAGGCAGCTTGGATTGAGTGAGGGCGCCCTTGATGCCTCGTTCGTTACCTTCCCCGACCCAGAGTCGGGCGACCCGGTGATATACCAGACGCTGGCATTGCCTTTCGGGGCCGCGCGCTCCGTCTACTCGTTCTTAAGAGTCTCTCATAGCATCTGGTATGTAGGCTGTGCACTTGGTTTCTTATGGGCAAATTATTACGATGACTTCCCGATCATCTGTCCCGATGACGACGTCCAAGCCCTGGAAGAGTTTGTGCCACGACTTTTCAGGTTGTTAGGCTGGCGGTTCGCCGAGGATGGTAGCAAAGCGGAAAAGTTTGGAAAAACGTTTTCGTGTCTAGGGGTTGTCTTCGACTTGCGACCTTACTGCAGCGGCAGAGTCGAGGTGGACAACACGTCGACCCGGAAAAGTGAGCTGCAGGAGATCTTGAGGAAAACAGCAGGCCAGGGAGTTATGTCAATCAGTGCAGCACAGAAGCTCCGGGGTCGCATGCAGTTCGCGGACAACCAGATTTTCGGTCGAGCGAGTCGCTTGTGTTTACAGGCTGTCACCGAACATATCGTTAATGGCCGAGATGAAATCGGCCCGGCCTGCAAAGATGCCATGCTGATGTATGCCAACATTCTTGAAGTGTGCAAACCACGAATACTGGCAAGGCCTTGCCAGAAACCAGTGTATCTCTTCACCGATGCGGCATTTGACAGGACCGAGGACAAACCGTGTTGCGGCATAGGAGGAATCCTGTATGACTGCGAAGGTAAGGCACTACGATTCTTTTCATGTTTCTTGAGTGTTACACTTATGCGGAAACTAGGACTTGATGACAAGAAGACCATCATTTTCGAAGCAGAACTTTTGGCATATGTAGTCGCACTGGTAGCTTGGAAAGATGCAATGAAGGGAAGACCTCTTGTCGCTTACGTTGATAACAACAGCGTGAGAGACCTGTGCATCTCTGGTCGAGGGCGGAACTTATTCGCAAAAACTCAAGCCGCACTATTCCTTACGATTGAAGACATGATCAGTGCCAACGTGTGGGTGGCGAGGGTACCAAGCCCATCGAACCCTGCTGACCTCCTTTCTCGCGAAAAGGTGGACACACTTCGTGTTGGCAGCAGGAAGATGAGGTCTTCGGATGTGGGGAGTGCCCTTAGTGAAATCCTCGCTTAGCGGTTAAGTTGGGGTTAGCCTGTCCCGCCATCCCTAGTGCACTAGGTTAGTCATTGCCGTATGGTGGTGTTTGACCGCTGAGGATCGTGGATTCCCAATGTCACCAGAGAAAAAGAGTGTTGCGCCAGCATGTGCAGTGTGTTCACAGTTGCTGTGTACTTGTACCTTCGCCTGTGAGTGTTAGAACTGCTCAGAAACAACAATGAAAGAATTTTAAGCTGGCGGTCAACTTGTTGATAGCGTTTTAAAATTCTTGATTTGAAAAACTCGGGGGAGTTTTGTTTCTGATGAGACTTGGTGCAGCAGAATACATCTCCGTGCAGTGTGAGCCACAGTGGCTCAGAAGAAAAATTTTCCCGCCCACCCACCCAACTTGGGCACATTCGCAAACAGATTTTGGCTCTCGTGCCGCTCTTCAGCTGTGTTAGAACTGCTCAGAAACAACAATGAAAGAATTTTAAAACAGGTGATTACTCAAAGGTGACGCAAAGCGCTTTTCTGGAGACTCGTCTCTGTGTCAATTGCAAGAAGAGCAAACCTTTGAGGGACATCGGATCTTTGAATGCTGTGTTGAATAAAAGCTTGAAGCGATGATTTCTATGCCACGGCCTGAGTTGCTCCACAAAGAGTGGTTGCCGGGAAGTCCGGCCGACTCAAGGTTGGGTGCGAGGTGCACCCAGCTCAGTCTGTCAAACAGTCGAGCATCCCTTTTGGGCTGCGATGTGCAGCCCAAGGGATTCGTGGCCAGTTCGAGTGAGCCAATCCTGGACTCCGGGAGGTTCGAGGGCTCGAGCTGCGAGGTGCAGTGCGGGCAAAATTTTGCGGAGTGCGAAAGGAGAACCAAATGGTTGCACGAGGCACCTGGGGGCTTGATCGAGCGTTGTGTCGAACTTGCTGTGGCAGCATATGCAGATTTCTGACTTGCGTGTTTTTGCGCTCAAGATTTTTAATTTTCGGAACCGGGCAGATTGCGAGGTGCAATGGCGGGGTTGCCTGTGGCAACGTCCTTCACGGAATCCAAGGCTGCTTTCGCTAAGAGAGCTTTGGAGGTCGGGCTCGCGCAAGCCGAAGTGGACCATCTTGTCTCCAAACAGGTTGACACTCTCTCGAAGTTAGCTTTTGTCCTGGTTCCTCCTGGGAAGGTTCCTGAGGACAGTGCAGTCGTTGGGCTGCTCCCAGCAGGTTCAAGTCAGGGAGCCATAGCAGGGCTCAAGCGGCTTCTTTTCGAAGCCCATACATTGATTGTGTCAGCCCTCAAACAAAAGGTGGAGCGCACTGAGGAGTCCTTGCCTCTCACTCTTGACATAGCCGAGCGAGAAGATCGTTTGGCAAGCCAGAAAACACGTTTGGGCGGGTTGACATTTCAAGGTGAAGAGGAGGTCGCACATGGTGCATACGACCTTGTCTTCTCGATGGCCCAGAAGAACGAGCTCATTTGGTTGGCGCCTGAGAAGTTCAACACACGGCGTGCAGAAATCAGTGCCAAGAAGCCTTCTAAAGAGCTCGTCATAGATGGGAGCGGCGTTGCGGTTAAAGATAAGCCCCAGGTCCTTAACTGTGCCATCAACTCTGACCTAGACTTGGTTTTGGCCATGCGCCGCAGAGCGCTTGCATTCGACCTTGTTGGGCTCATGAGTTTTGATGTGGCTAACCGCTATCATCAGGCACTTGTTCAACGTCTCCAGGAGGCTCCGCCTCCCAACTATGCCAAGGTCTCTATTGCTCAGGTTCTCCGCGCTGATCGAGCGGCATTCCTCCGGCTGGCAGAGTTGCTGCCCACTTTGCGCCGCAGCGGCGTGGGCAAGCTTCCTTTGGACGAGCAGCTTCCCAACATCCTGCTCGACCCTTCAGTCGCTTACCACTTGTTTCCCCTGCCAGCAGGTTCAACCTCCACTGCAAAGTTGGATGACAGGCCCGATCCACCTACCAAGCGTCCGAATCCTCGCCTTCCGAACCCTAAGAAGGCCCCAAAGAGGTATGCTTTCTCGGTCCCAAAAGAGCTTGTTGGCAAAGCGCATCAAACTCCTAAAGGCCACCGTCTGTGCTGGGGTTTCAACTTGCCGTGCGGTTGCAAGGACGCCAAGCCTGGCGGAAAGTGCGCTAAGGGCCTTCACTTGTGTGCAGAGCCGGGATGCTTGAAACCGCATAGCTTGCAGGACCACTCTTGACAGTCATCCGGTCCTCCCTGTCAGGGCTTCGCCGCGTCAGACAGAACTGTTGCAGCTGAGGCTACTCTTCAACGACTTGAAGGGCAGCCTTTGAGCGAGGTCGTGACCGTGGAGGTCTTTTGCGGAACTGGGCGGCTCAGTGCTTCCCTTCGTAGTGAAGGTTTTGATGCCTTCGGTGTTGACCATGTGGTCGGCAAAACTGCATGTTGTTCAGTCCTTCAGCTTGATCTTACTTGTGAGGCCTCTATTGCACATCTGTGGAGCATCTTGAAGGATCCCGCTGTCAAATTCATTCATTTTGCGCCGCCCTGCGGTACCGCAAGCAGGGCCCGTGACATCCAGTTTCCCGGCGCCCCACCTGTCCTCCGCAATGAGAGCCACCCCGAAGGGGTTCCTGATCTTTCGGAGATCCCTGCACTCAGAGTGCAAAAGGCTAACATGCTGTATAAGTTGACTCTTGAGCTAAGTTCTTTCTGTCTTCTGAACGGCAAATATTTTTCCTGTGAAAATCCGAGCCGCAGCTACCTTTGGCTGCTTCCTCAGTGGCAGCAGTTCTTGAAGCGCTCGGATGTCTTTCAAACTGTCTTTCATCACTGTGAGTTTGGTGGCATGCGTCGCAAAGAGACGCTCCTGGTGCATAACATCCCCAAATTCCGCGAGCTTCATCGTTTGTGCTCTGGCAAACATGTGCATCTGGGCTGGGGCAAGGTCGGCCGTACGTGGGCAACCAGCGCTGAAACGGCCTACCCCTGGGGCCTCTGCAAGTGCATGGCGAGCTTGCTGAAAGATCACTTTTTGGAACTTGGCTGTCGCCAATCTCCCAAAGCTATCGATGAAGGCGCACCCGCCATCCAAGGCGCGCGTGCTTTCACTGGAGCCCAGACTCGCAAGCGCGTGCCTCCGCTGCTTAGCGAATTCGCTTCGGTTCACACTGTCACTGTGCCTTCCAATCTTGCCGCGTCTTTCTTGCGTCCTGGCCAAAAGCTCCCGTCTCCGTGGAAGCCCGGAGATGATGCTGCTTGTTCTCCGGCAATCGAGTGCTTTCCGGCAGGTAGCCGTGTCCTTCGTGCCCATGTGGTGCGCAAGGGGATTGAGGTTGGCCCTAGTCCCACGGCTGTTTCCCCTAGTTCCGGTTTAGTCCCTGCAGCCCCTCGTGTGTTAGGTGCCGAGGGTTTTGAGAAGAACAATCTGCTGAAGCCTTCTAGCAGAAAGCGTCCTTTTGCTGATGTTCTTGGATGTGCTGAGGCTTCTCTCGGTCTGAATCCTGACGATACCGAGGTTCGAGAAGCCATGATGTCGGGTTCTGCCGAGCGGGTTGCTTCGCTTGTAAACAAGTTGCCTAAGGTACACCGCAAAGACTTGTCCTTGTTGCTTGACTTGCTTCCTTCAGAACCTCTTCGTTGGGAGGGCGATGCTGGAGCGAAATCGTTCCAAGGTGGCAGCTTTGTTCACGGCCCGATGTGCGGGGTGCGATCAACGACCAAGCAGTTCCCGGAAACTGTCAAGGCAATGTGCTCTTATGTCAAAGGCCTTTTTCCAGGTTTGGAGTTCGGAACTGTTGGGATGTTCAGGGATGTGTCTGCTCAGCCCCACCGGGACTCGAATAATGAAGTCTCTACAGACAATGCGATTGCTGCGCTATCGGATTTTTCTGATGGCTCTGTGTGGATGGAAGATCCTGCGGGTGACGTCGAGCTTGAAATCAAAGGTCGCGCAGTGAGAGGTGTTTGCATTCCCGTCACCCATGAAGGCTTCAGGTTCGATGGCCGTCGCCTTCATTGCACAAGGCCTTGGACAGGCCGGCGTGACGTTATTGTTGCGTACATGCCGAGGGGCCCTAAGAAACTTAAAGCTGAGCACGCCTCTTTCTTGAAGAGCCTGGGATTTGTGCTTGATCAAGCGACTTCGGGGTCCCAAGTCTCGCCTGGGGACATGACTAAGGCTGTCATTGGTGTGTACCGGACACCATCGCAGTTTGTTGAACAGGCAATTAAGGTTGGGCACCCCACGCAGCTCTCCGCTCTCATGCCTTCCGAGATCTCCTGTGCAGTCCGGAGAATCCATAAAGAAGGTGAGGCCAATGTGGCCAAGGAGCGCACCGCAACACTTCGCCGGTGGGTTAGCAGAGCAGCCGACTTAGAGCCAGCCGAGCGCGCGCTAAAGGCTGACCTTCCTCAGTTTCGAAAGGATGTTCTTAGTCCTAAACGCCTCGCTCTTTTCGAGGAGCTGTTGCTTGAAGTGGGACATGAGGACGTTGACCTTGTCAAAGACATTGCCCATGGGTTTGACTTGACAGGCAAGCTGCCTAGATCAAATGTTTTCGCTAAGCGCTTTCGTCCTGCGGAGCAGAGTGAATCTCAACTTCGATCCAGCGCTAAGAGGCTGCGTGATGGTCTCCTGGCCACGATCAAAGCTTCGGAGGATCCTGTGATTGACCAAGGTGTTCTTAAGGCGACGCTGAAGGAACTTGAGCGCGGCTTCGTTGATGGACCTTTGTCTCCAGACCAGATCCCTGAAGATGCGTCCTTAACACATCGTTTCGGAGTCATTCAAGGGAGCAATGAAGACGGTCCAAAGGTGAGGCCCATAGATAATTACCTGTCTTCCCAAGTCAATGCCGCAGTCACGCAGGTTGAACAAGTCAGCGTGCACACCATTGACGTGGTGGCCGGGATGCTGGCCTGTTGGTTAAATGAGTGGTTCGTCAGCGGGCGCCCAGAGCACAGCACGCCAGTGTGCAAGGCGTGGGACCTGCGTACCGCCTATAAACAACTTCCCCTTTCGGATTTAGCTTACGCCTTAGATAGTTTCTTTGTGCTCTTCAACATTGAGCGTGGGGCGAGCGAAATCTATCGCCAGAGGGTGCTTCCCTTCGGCTCAACAGCCAGCGTGACCAGCTTCATAAGAACGGCTTACGCCATTTGGAAATTAGGTGCCGTAGGGTTGACTCTTGTCTGGAGTGAATATTTTGATGACTATCTGAATCTTTGCGGCAAGGCTTTTGCTCGGCATAACGACTTTGTAATCTCCATGTTATTCCAACTGCTGTGATGGGAGATCTCGAAGGATAAGGAGCTCAGCTACGATGCACTTTGCGTCGTCCTGGGAGTGCAAGTGAACCTTCGTGATGCCAAGCTCGGTTTGGCTTACTTGGAGAACACCGTGAAGAGGCGGACTGAGGCGTTGTGTGACATTGAGCGGGCTTTAGCAACTGGTAAGCTTGAACCTAAAGAAAGTGAAAAGCTAAGGGGCCGGTTGCAGTTCGCTTGTTGCCAAATTTTTGGCCGGCGACCAAAGGCGGCTTTGAAGTTGTTGTCGCAGCACTCCAGGCAACGCAGATGGGACGTCAGCCAACTCACGCGGCTCGCACTCACTCAGCTGAAAAGTTTCCTTGAAAGTTCCAAGCCACGTCCAGTCAGGGCGCGGCGTGAAGACTTTGTCCATGTGTATGTGGATGATTCCTTCGAGCCAAACGGCCATTGTGGTTTGGGAGGAGTAGTCTTCAGTTCTTCTGGTGAGGCGTTGTGCTGGTTTGGTCAAGCTGTTGCCCCAGTACCTGTGCAGAAGCTTTTGAAAGCTGGTGACCGCGAAAGGGAGACAGTGATCTTCGAGCTTGAGGCGCTTGTGCTCAGCATTTGCCTCGAGGCCTTTCGCCCGTACGTCGAGAGGAAAGGTGTTGTCATCTTCACTGACAATGAGGGCGTGTTCGGAAGCTTCGTCAGAGGCCATAGTGACAATGCTTCTTGTGCTGCCTTGATCGACTTCTTTGCTTGCTGCGAAGAGAGCCTTGAAACGATCTGCTGGCTAGATCGTGTGCCATCCTCTTCCAATCCTGCAGACGACCCCTCGCGTGGCGTGAACATCCGAGGTGCACCACGTGTCGATCTTGACATGAATCTCTTGAGTCGCGCGCTTCCTGAAGTCTTTGGGTGAATGGGGTACATGTTCTCAGGGGGAAGCGGGATGTACCGCATTCACTTGGGATGTCCAAGAGTTTTTCCCTAGCTGAGACAATCGACGGATTCCCCATGCCACCTACGAGGAAAAGTCTTGTGCTGTCGAGTGAGTGCGTTGCGAACTCTTGAGATACGCAATTATGTTTAACATACAGATTGGAGAAATTCTGTTTTCATGATAAATATTTCTCCTTATGATTCGATTGATGCCAGCCGATTGAATTATAGTTCTCCGTATGGCATCCATGCATTGTTCAGGTTCACGCGGTAACTTTACACAAGTGAAAATAAGCCACCATCGCAGCTTGCCTGCGTACGGTATTATTTTCACGTGGAAAGTTTGATTTTGAAATCTTATTTCAAAATCAACGCTTGAGTTTTCAAACGTCTCTTGATGTCAGTCTGCAACTGTTGAGTCATGCGAAGATGCGAAATTCCAGTTGCCGTTGTGCTCTGAGGTAGAGCGCAATTTTTGTTTTCTCCCACCCACCCACCCGGGGGGGGAAGCGGGATGTACCGCATTCACTTGGGATGTCCAAGAGTTTTTCCCTAGCTGAGACAATCGACGGATTCCCCATGCCACCTACGAGGAAAAGTCTTGTGCTGTCGAGTGAGTGCGTTGCGAACTCTTGAGATACGCAATTATGTTTAACATACAGATTGGAGAAATTCTGTTTTCATGATAAATATTTCTCCTTATGATTCGATTGATGCCAGCCGATTGAAATATGTTCTCCGTATGGCATCCATGCATTGTTCAGGTTCACGCGGTAACTTTACACAAGTGAAAATAAGGTTATGAGAAGCCATTTTGCGAGGAATGTGTGTGGAACTTCATTTCTTATTTGAAGAAAGAGAAGGCAGCCCCGACTCGCGCGGCCTCCTTCATTTCAGCTTTGCATTTTGCGAATTTTGTTTTGGGGCTGAGCGTGTCCGAGGTTCTTGCAAGCCGCAGGATCCTGGGTCTCAGTGCCCAGCTGGGTGTCAAAAAGAAAGCGACCAACCGAGCTCGGCCTCTCAAGGTGTCGGAGGTGCGCTTCATGCATGGCGTGTTAAGGGACGAAAGTGCGCCGATCTGGGACCGAGCCATATGCGCTTACCTCCTGCTTGCACTCTACGCGAGGGCTAGACACAGCGATTTAGTTCTTGTGGAAGAAGTGATAGCGGATTTTGATCGCATGTGCAGCGGGTACCTGGAGATCCGCCTTAGATTCCATAAGACAGCCCAGACTATCTCAAAGAAGAATGACTTGTTGCCGGTCATCGTGTCAAGCAAAGGCATCGTGGCAGGCGATTGGTTGGGACTGGCGACTGACGCTTTTGAGCGAGTGGGCCTCACCTTGGACGGGGCTGTCGGCGCAGGCCTCTTCAGGCCTTTCAGGCCTGGTGGCACTACCCCCGGGCGGCGAAGCCTTCGGTCCTCGGAGTGCACATCCATGTTAAAGATGGTTCTCGAGCGAGCAGGGTCGGATGTGTCAATGGTCACGTCGCACTCTTTGAAGAGAACCCTGCTTGACTGGGGATCCAAGTTTTGCCTTGATGACGGGATTTTGGCTTTGCTTGGACGTCACAGCAAGTGTGTCAAAGGAAGTGTGCCCGTCTATGCCAAGGAGGAAGCCCTGAAAGCTGTTAGGGCCCTCGAACCCATGTGCCAAGCAGTGGCCGAGGGGTCGTTCCACCCCGATGCTGCCCGAGCCTTGTACTTTACAGCTCCTCCAGCGCCAACCTCGGCACCTCGAGCTCCGGAGCTCAGTGCATCTGTCAAAGCCAAAGTCGAAATCGTTAATGACTCGGCGTCCGAACAGGCTGAACCCGAGGGGGAACATTCCTCAAGTAGCAGCGAAAGCAGCGACTCCGAGTCGCAGGACGACTCCGACTCATCGCCCGAGTCGATGGCGCCTCTAAAAGCGCCTCGCATGGAAGTCGAGCAGTGGGCTGCCGCCGATTGCGTGGCCAATTCCAGGACCAGGACCCTTCACCTCCTGAAATTTGTGTCAGGCAATGGGACCCTGTTCGCCACATGCGGCCGGACCTCAGAGGTCATGGTTCAAGCAGTGCAAGCCCACATGAGTTTTCGGAGATGCCGCGCTTGCATGCGGATTGGGAAGCGCTGAAGGCTAAATGCCATTTCCGCCTTTTTGGCGAAGGGCGAAGTGCCGAGACCTAGAAGGTCTACGAATGCGATTCGAGTCTTGGATAAAGAGTGATCTTCTGCACTTAGACATGTATTGCGGGGACAGTGAAGCTTCTGCAGTTTGCTGATTCAGCCTCTGTTGGACATGCAGATGTGTAAGTGCGATCTGTCATGCGAGTTTCTGCAAGTTTGGCCGAGGATGAACCATGGATTGATCCATGTCATGATTTTTTATGTTGTGTTCTCTATGCCATACACTCTCTGTGTTCTGCTTTACTCTACTGAGACTACTGTTCTGGTACCTCGGAAGTTTTGATTTGCATAGTGGACTATTCCAAGCTCCTTTTGCTCGCCATGTCCTCGTTAATCGATAGCGGTGCACACTTTAAAAGGCGTGCGGATGAGGTCGGCCTCAGCAGTGTGGGATGGACCATCCTGCAGGCACTTGGCATCACCTCAGTGGGCAAGGCTGCGTACACAATTACGTCGCCGGGTGAGCCGGTCACGGAGCCCATATTCCGAGATTGGGTTGCTGATAACGCTGCTGGCATGACTTTGGGTGATCAATCATGCGTCAAGCGGTTGGTGTTTGAGTCTCAAACTCTGGTCGTAGCCGAGTTGCGCGACCAAGTGTCAGGGTCTCAATCATCTGCTCCCCGTCGTGTTCCTGAGGCTGAACGCGACAGAAGATTGAGTGATCTTCGTGCCGCCCTCCCGGGCATCACGCTGGAGGGTGTGAACATGCCAAGCAATGCCCTGCTCGACTCGTGTTGTCAGCAGGAGCGGGACAACTTACTTAAGTACATCCCGCCTGAGAAAGCCACGAGCCGCACTCACGAACTTACCAATCCGAAGCCGACCCATCAGGCCCTGCAAGTCGAAGCCTCCAAAATAGTTCTCAAGAGCGACGCCGATGCCGTCGAGTATCAGCCAGTCAACGCCCTCCAAACCATGGAGGCCTTCAGACGTCGAGGTTTGGCCATGGTGTTTGCGCAAATGATTTCCTATGATGCTTACGACCGGTATTTGAATCGACCCTTCAACCATTTGTCCCGTGACCCACCGCCAGGGCTCAATCACAATTGGTCAATGCTGACAAGCAGCCCTCCTGGCCGAATGGGGCGTCAAGCCAAGGAAGGATGCTTCCGGTGAGTATCCCCTTGACAAAGAGATGCACCGCGGTTTGGAATCCTACGAGGTCTCCATTGCACTCATGCACCAGGCTCCCCAAGGCAAGAACCCCTTTCGGAACAACCGGAAGCGCCATCCCTCTCGGCCTTCCACGCCGGATCCCCCCACGAAGCAGCCCAAAGGCAAGGGCCGAGGCAAAGGTGCCAAAGGTTCTCCCGCGATGCCCAAAGAGCTTGTCGATCTGAAGGCGAATGCCGCCACACCTGAGGGTAAGAGCATCTGTTATGCTTTTAACTTGAAAGAGTGTAAGCGCACTGACTGCCCCCACCAACACGTGTGTGCCAGGTGCTTCCAGCAGCACTCAATCCGCAAGTGTGCCGCTGCCGGGGCGTGAAAGCTTTCGCGACCCTCTGATACAATTTTGCTTCCTGATTCACAGCTGTCTGAGCCTGCCTCGCCTCCTGTAGCCACAGGAGACCTGGCTGATGCATGCAATCCCGTCTCCCCACCTTGTGAACAGTATGCCCAAACCTTGCTTTCCCGCAGTACATTGAGTGCTGCGGATGTGTTGGGCTTGGTTTCTTTTCTGCAACCCGAATCGCCTCGCTTTCCTGGCGAGTTCAGTTGGGCTACCGGTGCTTACGTACATGGCGGCATAGTTGGCCTGAGACACAATCTAACTCATTTTCCACTTTCGTCCCGTGTCTTGGCGACCTTGGTTTCAAATACATTCCCACAATTAGAGTTTACCTCCATTGTGGTTTTAGTCAACACCCTCACTCCTGCGCACCAAGACCTCAACAATCATTTGGGCTTTCCCAACGCGTTGATTCCTCTAAGTAACTTTGAAGCCGGAGGTCTTTGGATCGAGGGAGCTGGCGATGAGGTCTGTCCCGACCCCGGGCACCCAGATGCCAAGGGACATGTTTTGCAACTGCATGAGCCAATCCAGTTTGACGCACATCAACTGCATGCTACGTGCCCTTGGACTGGCAATCGCGCTGTGCTAGCAGCATTCGTGATCAATGATTTTCACAAATTGGACGCTCAGCATCGCCAGCTTTTGCAACAGACTGCCTTCCGTCTGCCGAGCCTGTCAACCGGGGAGCTCCTTCCTTCACGCCCCAGCATTGCATCCCGGTTTCCAGTGATCCTCGAGATTTTCGCAGGTACTGCGCGTGTAACAGCAGCCTTGCGCTGCTGCGGTTTCGTCGGCTCTCAAGGTGTTGATCACGTGGTCGTGGATCATGCTGCCTGCCCTGTCCTGTTGGCCGATTTGACTACTCGTGAGGGTCAGAGTATGGTAATGATGTGGCTGTCGAGTCCTCATGTTGTGGGTGTTTTCATCGCTCCACCATGCGGTACCAGCTCCCGTGCCCGAGAAATTGCACTCCCCGGACCTTCTCCCGCTCCTCTGCGTTCGCTTGATTTCCCTGACGGGCTACCTCACCTGTCTGGTCTCAGTATGGTTCGTGTCAACAAGGCCAATCAGCTGTACCACTTTACGTCCACGATCTGTGCTGAGGCCCACCGTCGGAGCCTCATCATTGCTGTGGAAAACCCGCGGAGCAGTCTTTATTGGTCCACCAGCTTCTGGAAAGCTGCCTCCGCTTTCTGTCCAATGCATACCGACTTCCAACACTGTGCCTTTGGCGGGCGTCGGCCCAAGTGGACTCGCTTGTGCCACAACCACCATGCCTTCCACGCCTTGCATCGTGTGTGCCCGGGGGGCGCGTGTGCTGCCCATCACTTGCCTTGGGGTCGTGGGGAAGATGGCGCCTTTGCCACGGTCGCTGAAAGCGCTCACCCGCCGCAGCTGGCCACAGCCATCGCCCAATGCTTTGCTCAGGCCGTTACCTTCGTGCCCGAGGCCGAGCCCTCCCTTGCGGCCATGAGAGCCACTTCTGGCCTTCAACCAAAGTTAAGATCTCCATATGTGGTAAACATTGAGGGCACACTCAAACTATTTATTAGTGATTTCGGAGTGATTTCCTAGTGATTCAGAATAGTGGTTTTAAAAAGGAGTTTTTAGTAGCATCTCCGACCCTAGTGATTTCTTAGTGATGCGCCTGCGGCCCCGCCGCACAGAATTGGAACCTAGTGATTTCTTAGTGACGTGCTGCCGCGGCCGGCCACACAGACCTGTCATTCCACCGCCCGCCAACCAGACAGCAATCGTGAGCGGTTCGTCGTAGTGACGTAGTGCAGTGGTGAAAGAAGCTTTGCAAGGCCCACTTACCACTTTGGACTCAAGCTCCTCTTAAATTTACAAAGGCCCCAATCAAACCCGAAAAATGATTGGAGTGACTGGAGTGTGGGTGTTCAGTCAGCTTTGCGGCAGCCACAGCCACAGACACACAGACCCATGCACACTCTTTGTATGGAACACTGTATTTGACACTCTGTGGCGAGACCGTTTTCCCAGTGCATTTTTTGCAGTGCTGCTGGGACAGTGAGTACCAGAGTATCAGTAGCACCAGTAGAATTCCACATCAGATCAGCCAAGGCCACATGACATGTCACATGCCTCCACAAACGAAAGGCATACCGCGGCACACCTTCACTAGAATCACTAGAATCTAGAAGAACAACAGATCACGTCACTAATGACATGAGATGGCACTATATCACTCCATAGTACTATAGTGGCCTATGGCTATGGCGGCTACGGAGGCCGGGCGGCCTGCCAAGCCCATGCGTCCAACAACTCCGGCGGGGGAGCCTCCAAAACGAATCACTAAAAAATCACTGTGGCGAGGGAGCCTCCGACACGAATCACAGAATAATCACTACGGCGGGAAAGCCTCCAAAACTCATCACTAAAAAATCAATATGGCGGGAGAGCCTCCAAAACGCATCACTAAGAAATCACTATGGCGGGGGAGCCTCCAAAACGCATCACTAAAATATCACTATTTGAAATCACTCGGAACGTCACTCCGAAATCAGTATTTCCTAGGGAAATAATGATTTCGGAGTGATTCTGGCTCCCGCCGAAATCACTCCAAAATCACTATTCCGGAATGCCTGCGAAATCACTCCGAAATCACTCCCAAATCACTACTTCCTGGGGAAATAATGATTTTGGAGTGGTTCTGGTGGCTCCCGCCGAAATCACTCCAAAATCACTATTCCGGAATGCCTGCGAAATCACGAAATCACTCCGAAATCACTATTTCCTAGGGAAATAGTGATTTCGGAGTGATTCTGGTGGCTCCCGCCGAAATCACTATTCCGAAATGCCTGCGAAATCAATCCGCAATCACTCCGAAATCACTATTTCCTAGGGGAATAGTGATTTTGGAGTGATTCTGGTCACTCCGAAATCACTCCGGAATCACTCCGAAATCACTATTTCCTAGGGAAATAGTGATTTCGGAGTGATTTCGCAGGCATTCCGGAATAGTGATTTCGGAGTGATTTCGGCGGGAGCCACCACTCCGAAATCACTATTTCCCTAGGAAATAATGATTTCGGAGTGATTCCGGAGTGATGTCGCAGGCATTTCGGAATGGTGATTTCGGAGTGATTTCGGCGGGAGCCACCAGAATCACTCCAAAATCATTATTTCCCTAGGAAATAGTGATTTCGGAGTGATTTCGCAGGCATTCCGGAATAGTGATTTTGGAGTGATTTCGGCGGGAGCCACCAGAATCACTCCGAAATCATTATTTCCCTAGGAAATAGTGATTTCGGAGTGATTTCGCAGGCATTCCGGAATAGTGATTTTGGAGTGATTTCGGCGGGAGCCACAGAATCACTCCGAAATCACTATTTCCCTAGGAAATAGTGATTTCGGAGTGATTTCGCAAGCATTCCGGAATAGTGATTTTGGAGTGATTTCGGCGGGAGCCACCAGAATCACTCCGAAATCACTATTTGCCTAGGAAATAGTGATTTCGTAGTGATTTCGCAGGCATTCCGGAATAGTGATTTCGGAGTGATTTCGGCGGGAGCCACCAGAATCAGTCCGAAATCACTATTTGCCTAGGAAATAGTGATTTTGGAGTGATTTCGGAGTGATTTCGCAGGCATTCTGGAATAGTGATTTTGGAGTGATTTCGGCGGGAGCCACCAGAATCATTCCAAAATCACTATTTCCCTAGGAAATAGTGATTTCGGAGTGATTTCGCAGGCATTCCGGAATAGTGATGTTGGAGTGATTTCGGCGGGAGCCACCAGAATCTCAAGTATCCGGATGTTGGAGTGCTAGATGAAGTGCTGGAAGGAGTGCACCTGACGGGTCAGACCCCTTGCTCTGGAGTCTTTCCGGGAGCTTTTAAGCCAGCAAAACAGACTTCGGAACAGCTACGCTCCAAAGCCAGCGAGTCCCGCCAGAAGATCCTTGATGCGATTAAATCGCAAGGGCACCTGGATGAGGCGCTGGAACAAAAGGTCGACGAAGAGGTGGAGCTTGGCTGGCTGTCCGAGCCAACAGACCCTGCCGATTTGCCGGAAGGCGCCACAATCAGCAGGAGGTTTGCGATCGAACAGTCGGGCAAGATTCGCTTGATAGATGACCTTAGCGACAGTGGTGTCAATGGTTCCGTCCAAACCACCGAGAGTCCCAAGCCTCCATCCCTCGATGTGGTCGCTGCTATGGCCTTGGCGTGCCTCAGGAAGCTGCCCGGGATCCCCATGCTAGGGAAAACGTTCGACCTGAAGAGTGCATACAGGCAAATGTTTGTGTCGCCGGACGACCTCAAGGAGGCCTACATTGCTTACTTCAGCCACCGTGAGGGTCGAGTGATTGTAAGGCAAATGCTTGCGCTCCCGTTCGGAGCAACCAGGGCGGTGTTTTCTTACTTGCGAGTAGCACATTCTATGTGGTACATCGGGTGCTGGGCGCTGAAACTGATATGGTCGCACTTCTTTGACGACTTCTTAAGTCTGGCGACTCAGGTCGAAGCCAAAGCAGTCGACCTAGCAATCTCTTCATTGTTCAGGTTGCTGGGGTGGAAGGTCTCAGAGGACAAGGACAAACCCTTTGCCGAGAGTTTTGCTGCGCTTGGGGTACGGGTTAGTTTCGAAAGGTTCTTGCAAGGGGAGGTTCTCTTCCATAACACGGAAAAGCGTGTCTTAGAGGTTTCAGCCACACTGCGCCGTGCAGCTGACGATCCAGCCCTCACCCAGAAGGACCTCTCACGCATTCGGGGTCGCATGGTCTTTGCAGGGGGCCAGCTCTTCGGAAGAGCCGGCCGGTTATGCGTGGCCGCCCTGGCTGGTGAAAGCTGCTCGACCAAAGCAAACCTCAGCAACGATGCAAAGCAAGCTATGCTCCAGTTTGCCGACCTGCTTGAGGCCAACTGGCCGCGCGTGCTTAAAGATGTGTCAGTAGATCCGGTGTACGTCTTCACTGATGCTTCGTATTCCGAAACAAGTGGAGGTACTTTCTGCGGTTTTGGTGGAGTCTGCTTCGACCACGAAGGCCGCCCCCTTGGATTTTTCTCCGAGGAACTTTCTAGTTTTCAGAAACGTCTTCTAGGAGAGGGCAGGTCCAAGACCATCATCTTCGAGGCAGAACTTGCAACAATCGTGGTCGCATATGTCCTATGGAAAGATTGGCTTAGGGGAAAACCCGCTGTGATTTTTGTGGACAATAACTCCGCTAGAGACGTGTCAATCAGTGGCACCTCACGGAATGATGTGGGCAAGTCACTTGCATCACTTCTTTTAACGGTGGAATCCTTAGCCAAGACCTTTTCGTGGTTCGCGCGTGTTCCATCGCCATCGAACATAGCAGACACGCCTTCACGTGAAGTGCTGAAAAGCTTTACAGTGTCAGGTTGCCCCGTCCCTCACTTCCCATGCGAGAACATTGTGTCAGAAGTTCTGGGCATTTTGGTCAAGTAATACAACGGATAAGAAGGGGAGAATTCTTGATACCGGTTACACATCCTTTTGCAGGCGATGATTGTTCCGCCAGGCGATGATGTTCCGCCATCCGTAGTTGCAGGTTGGGGCTAAATGCCTCATTGCACCAAGGTACCCCTTGTCACCGCTGGTGAAAATGTCAGAAGCCTCCGGAATGCCGAGTGTGTTGCTGTTTTCTCTTGAGTGTGAAGCTTCACATGCCAGGCTGCTAAGCCCTCAAGCGTGATCCCTAATTCGGCAGCCTTTTTTTTGCTCAAGATATTAAGGAGGCCGTCAGTGCGAGCGCTGATAGTCCCTTAATATCTTGAGCACAAATTTTCTTGAAAAATCGGGCTTGATTTTTAAAGAAAATGGCTGCCAGAAGTTTTCTGTCAGTGTGAGCGCCAAGTGGTGCTATTTTGCATCTTCTTGTCATCCGCGCTCGCCATCTCAAGGCATCTTGAAGTCGGTGTGCACAAGCATCTGTGACACTATGCTGTAGCTCCACGAACAAGCCACAAGTCTTGCACATGTAAGGTTGCAGAAATTTTTCTCTTCCCGCCCACCCACACCACTTGCATCTCAGATCTTGCGGCGAGTGACGCCACCTGCAGCCGAGTGCCGCATGCGTGAATCTAATCCGGGGAGAATTCTTGATACCGGTTACACATCCTTTTGCAGGCGATGATTGTTCCGCCAGGCGATGATGTTCCGCCATCCGTAGTTGCAGGTTGGGGCTAAATGCCTCATTGCACCAAGGTACCCCTTGTCACCGCTGGTGAAAATGTCAGAAGCCTCCGGAATGCCGAGTGTGTTGCTGTTTTCTCTTGAGTGTGAAGCTTCACATGCCAGGCTGCTAAGCCCTCAAGCGTGATCCCTAATTCGGCAGCCGTTTTTTTGCTCAAGATATTAAAGGGTTTTTAATTTCGGGTTAGGGTTTTTAGTTTAGGCTTTAATTTAGGGTTTGTGCGAACAACCATCCCAGAACTGGGAGCGGACAAGGAGGAACACGACTGTTTAACAGTCAAAGCATTGCGATGGCATCAGAAGTGTGCGTGTTAGGGTTTTTCGTTTCGGGTTACGGTTTTTAGTTTAGGAGAAAGATGAGAGGAGAGAAGAAAGACATTTCGGCTCAAACATACAATACATATAATATACAAATTTATTACTTTTATCATCGTTCTCTAAATAGTAATAACTTTGCCCTAATTTCTTATCTATTCGTTTAACTGTTTCTATGGTCTTTAACCAATGACTAGTGCGTTCTTTTTCACTTATGCCTTTTTTACGCATTATTTTAACACTATCGCCCACTTCTATTTAATTTCGGGGTATGTTCTATTGCGCTTTGCCTGTAAAGATATATTCAATTTAACTTCAAATCCATTTTTCTTTTTCTTTGCCTCTAATGGGGTCATTTTAGTAGTGGATGAAACCATTTTAATATTATATGTTAGTAGTATCTCCAAATTATAATCTATCCACTGTATATTTTGCTTTCCTTTCTTCTCATCTGCTTCAACTCGCTTGAATAACATATCTTTGTAGGTTCTTATAAAACGCTCCGCGAATGCTGGGTGTCCTCTCGTTCTATGTATCTCAATTTTCTCACCTTCTAAATATTCTATAACGGTTTTACTTTACAAACTCCCTTCTTCATCGCTGTAAAACATCTTCGGTTTATCGCCCATTTTTTGTGGTCCTTCCATTATTCCTGCCAACATATCAGGTGGTTCTTTACTCTTAATAGGTATAACTGTAGCATATTTACTAAAAATATCAATTAAAACTAATCCTATTCTAAATTTTTGGCTTTCTAAATCATTTTTACTAATAAAGAATAAATCCACCTGATATTCAAAATGGGCGTGAGGCGCTACAAAACTATTCTCGCCACACGGTTTGCGCTTTTCTTCAACATTCTTTCTAAAAATCTCCTCAACGTCCTCTTTTGTAATACTTTTATCCCTCTCTCGGGCATCTTTCAGTGTAGTCGCCCTACTCCCAAAACCCGAGCGGTCAAAATATATATATCATTAATGATTTTTTGCTTATTTGAACTCATATAAATAACAATATATTTTACTATTTAATGGACCGATACATTACAGTAAAAGCAATAAGCACAACAATTGTCTAAACGATGCCCGTAATCATTACATAGTCGCTGAGCTGTAAAGTTGCTACATAACTTACCCTGCTTCACTTCAAAATTGAATGCTGTATTACATTTCTCGCACCTGCTTTTAAACATTTTCAAACAACATTCGGGGGTTATGTATTCTTCTTCATTTATGCTTCTTTGGGAATGCCGGTCCTGTAGCTTGTAATTCTCCACCTTGTTTTTAAAGTATCTCATTATCCTGGCACTTGGGCCAACCTCAGCTCCTTGGCCTCGCAGTATTTGGTGGCCTGCCCCACCCTACCGAAACGGAATGTTGTGCGCCTTCTAGGACACTTGCGTGTTGATATTGGCACCCTCCCGGACATGGAGGCTGGTCGTATCCTCACATCGATGGGCGCGACTGACACTGTTTCTTTCAGGCACCTTTTGTGGGCCGGCCGCTTTTCACAGGCTCCTCGTCCTGCTCATGGCCCAACATCTCATCTGCCATGGACTTACGGCTACAAATTCATGACCTTTCAACAACTTGTCGCCTGAGCTGAACTTACAGCTAGGGTCATTGAAGCATCTAGCTCGCACACGCCCTGCTGATCCCTGCTGCTCTGAGCTCATCTGGAACAGGAGCGACATTTGACCTGGACTTGCCTCTTGACGTTCTCATCTGCGCTTCGGGAAGAGCAAAGCATCACGCGCGCCGGAGCTTGCAGTCTGTGATGTCTGCAATGCTTTCCCTGAGTGAACCGCCCGTGTTGTCTACACGTTTGATATCTTTGTGCTTGCATTCTCGCGGCTGTTGCTGTTAGCGCTGCGTGATCCACATTGGCTCGCTTCTCTCGCTCGCTCGCTCACTCGCTGGCTGTCTGTCCGTCGATAGCTCTGTCATCTGCATCTCTCTTTGCAAGCTTCCTGTACTTTGCCCTACGTTTTCCTCAATATTCCTGTGCCGTTCTACCTTTCTCAATGCGCGGCAATCACGACTCTTGTTTGGGCTTTCCTACGCCGGATCTCTTTATCTGCTCAATTCAAGCGTCCCTCGTAATCCCTTCCAGCTCAATCTTGCTCGAACAGTCCGCACGGTTCAACTTGCAATCTAGTTTGGGTCACTACTGGGCTGAACCAGCTTCACTCGCCGTGCATGCACGCAACGTCATCATGAAACGCGTGTGCTGCATCTTCGTGTTACATCTAATACTGGCACCTGGCTGTCAACGCCATTGGCGTTAGCGCTCGCAGGAATTTACCATGAATGGGGTTGAGCATTTGCGGCGGGCGCGTTGCAGTCAGCAGAGTTGTGCTGGCCACGGATGAATCAAATATCCATGCGTTAGCAAGGCGACCGACCGCGGCTGCGACATGCGTAAGGTCAACCCCTCCACACGTCCCTCATGACACTTCACGCACAGATACAAGTGAAAGAAAGCAAGCACTGGCACGACTGCAATACAAGTTACATCACATGCCCAAGGAGCTTCACAAGCATGGGGTCTGTTTGCCAACCACGAAATGAACCCAATCACAGGTGGCGTGCAAGTGGTCCACAGGGGGCTTGGGGGTGCAGTGGCATGCAGTCGGCATGCATGTGTTGCACACGGGGCTTGGGGAAGTGCAGCGGCGTGCAGATGGCTTGCAGATTGCATGCTTGGGGGGGTACCCATGAATGGCTTAGCGGCCCCAGAAACGTTTCCAATCCATCAAAAAATTGCCAATGAAATTTAATTGAGCATCCATCATGCGTGCGTGAATGGGTTTTATTTTCCGCCGAAAGTGTAGACAAAGTTTGTCGAAAAAGGAAAACAGTGTTTTCACTTGTGTGTGAGTGACACTAGACAAACTTTGCCGTGCAGCTTTCGGCTTGGAGTTGGATCTGTGATCCAAAAAGTTTTTGTAGAGTAGCTTGTAGTGCTCCACAGCAGTGGGGGTCGTCAGCGACGTCCTTCCACTCCCCTTTATATAACTGTCAGTGGCAGTTATGGTAGACCAAGCAGCCCGCAATTACGCGGCTGAGTCGCCAGAGGCGCCGTACCCTAGAAGGGACGGTCGAGAAAATCAGTTGGCAGCGCCACAATGCCTGCAACGCGTGCGACAGTGTCGCTCCTGCCTCCGTTTTTTGCAGTGCAATCCAATTTTTGTGCTTGAGCAGGCCATGCGTGAAGAAATGGCACAACAGGAGATAAGTTATCTCCTCTGGGCCATTAGCTGTGCCATGCGGGTAGACCCCGCGGTCGTCAGCGACGACCACGAATCCCTGAATCGAGCAGGGGAAGGGGAGTCCAAAGTTTGGCCTCCCTTTTACCCTTTTGCGCAGATGCAAGGGGAACAACCGGACACCTCAGGCAGTGCCTACCCGATGCACCGGTATACGATGTCGCAGCGCGACGTGCCTATGCGGCCAGCGGCCACGCCTGGCTGGCCGTATACCGGCCTTTTTGACTGGCCCCCCAGCGGGGAGGAGGATAATGTCCCCAAACTCCAGTGGAGACTTAATTGGGTGGACGCCCTAGAGGGCCACGTGGCTACTAAGGTGGAAGCCAGCGGCTTCCATTGGCACCCAGAGGGTGAGGGCAAAGGCAAGGGTGGTTGGGTCAAGATTCTCCCTTCGGAGAAGAAAAAGAAGAAGACTCACAAAGCTGCCAGCGGCAGCACTGACCCCACCGCCTCGTCCAGCACCGCTCTGCCGACAGCGTCGGCATCAGCCTGTGGTCGTGTCCAGACCGCAGCGTCGCAATCGCCAGCGAGGCTGGCAGTTCCAGCCTGGGGAGGACCCCCAAAATAACGATTGGCGTAACCTCGGGTCAGCGACCGACAACAGGTACCCCGGCCTTCGTGCGTTAGTTACGCACGCTAGGAGAGTCTCTCCACAGTTGCACGTCACAGA